GGTGGGGAGTAACTTAGAGTAGTAACATGCATACGTTATTACTCTATGTTACTACCCTTATAGTGGGAAATGTCATATGTGTAGTACCATACACATGTTCGTTTATTGTCTTGTAGACTCATTTTGCATTGGAAAGCGCTATGTGATGGTAACATATTAGGTTACTCTATTTGCCCCTCTCCTCATTAATTACTTGCCACATCAACATTTTTGCTTATGTGGCGTCTATGTTACTACCTATGTTACTCCCACTATGACCAGCCGCATAGTATTATATTCCCTCCTTTTCGGTTTATAGGGCTTATCTCAAAATTTTAGTTTTTCCATTTTATAAGACTCAATTTGGTTGTTTCCCATCACATGTTCAGATTCCAAGGTGCATTAAATCATTGCATGCAAGTATTGAGAGAAATTGACCAATGCATGTACTTTATGCATGCATGCATTGCAATTAATGCATTGATAAGCATAATTTTTTGAGAAAAACAAGAGCATTATTTGGGTACTTTTGCAAACTACAAAAAGTATTCCACCACTCACCATCTACCTTGGTTGGTGAGTATACTAGTATCATGTAGTACTTTATTTATTGCCATGCATGTCATATAGTACTATAGCATTTATTATGATACGGTATGATGATATGATACTCAACCCTCTCTTTCTTCATTTAATTCTATGACACATCATTTTTTCGAGAGCACGCGAAAGGCGTGCCTTAGCTTTACAGAAGGGGAGAAACAATATGTACAAGATTTACATGGCTGCAGGCATCACCCACGACGTGCCTGCCATCTCCTGAAAACCCCCTAGGCTACTACTCACAAAATTGTAGAACTCCACTCCCTCTAGCTAGAGCCCACAGGTGGCGCTCCCTGAAAATATTTCCGACCAGTTCTTGCTCATTACACAGGTTATTCCTACCAAAAACTCTACCATTCCGTTGCTTCCATATACTCCAACAAATCAACATAACAAAAGAGTCGAAGTCCTTTCGGTGTGTCTTGGGCATCCTCTCCCTCGAAGCCACCCACCACTCTTCCACCTTTTCATGCCCATCGGGTATCAGCTGCAGAGGTATCCCGACCTTGGAAAAACATTCGAACCAGACCTGTCTGGCATAGACGCATTGTGCAAGGATGTGATCCACCGTGTCCTGCTCCTGACCACACAAGAAGCATGCAGATATCATATCCTGCAAACCGTGTCGAACTCGCCTATCTGACGTCCAGATCCTATATTGGACGGCCAACCACATAAATATCTTGCATGAGAGAGGTGCCCCGCTTTTCCATATCGCGTCTGCAAGCTGGAATTGCACCCCTCCCTCACACATCATCGCGTACGCCGAAGCAGCCGAGTAAGTGCCCGCACCGTTCCACCTCCATATCATTCTGTCCTCCTCTCCCGTGCGCAGCTCAAAGTTCATAATGACCTCGCAAAGCCTAATGAGCTGGGCGAGCCCGTCTGTATCCAGTTCTCCCCTGATATCGTTCATCCAATTGTGCAAAAGTAGGCCGTCCTTGACCAATCGTCAGTTGAGCACCTGGGTTTTCACTTTGGCCACAAGCATGGGCGCCAGCTCGCTCACCGTCGATCCCCTCACCCATCTGTCCTTCCAGAACAGAGCCTTAGTGCCATCGCCTACCTGCCAATGGACCAAGCTCGAGAAGGCTAGGCATACATCCTTGTCCACGAAAGAATTAAGGCCTTGCCATGGTTTACTGTCATCATATCTCTTGAGCCATTCCCATCTCATCCTGAGAGCAATGCCATGGTGGTGAAGATCAATCACTCCCAACCCATCCATCTGTTTCCGCCTGCACACCCTCTGCCACGCCACCGTGCACTTTCCCCCATGAATATGATCGGAGCCGGCCCAAAAAAAATGCACGACATCCACTGTCCACCTTATCCAGCGCCCACTTTGGTGCCTCGGCCACAAGCAGGTGGTGTGTGGGTCTCACACGCATCACTTGGTTCACGAGGATCAGCCGGCCCGGCCGGGGCACCAGCCCTCTCTGCCATCCCGGTAGAATCTTCAGAGCCGTGTCCACAATAGGTTGCCAGTCTGATCTTGTCAGATGTTTAGTGCTCAGTTGCAGCCCTAAGTATTTGCACGTGAAATTGGCGATCTGCCATGGCACCATGCTCCGAACCAATATCTCGTCGTCTTCGTTGCTTCTAATGAGGATGGCCGATGACTTGGCGAAGTTTACTTTGAGCCCGAATGCTTCTCCAAATATCCTCAGTGCTTCCACAACAAAGGACATGTCTGCAAGTGTTGGTTTGATGAAAAGCACCACGTCATCGGCATACAGGGACAGCCTTTGTAGCGGTCCACACCCGTTAAACTTCCCCAATAACTGTGAATGATGCGCCTTCACGATGATCGCTGTCAACACATCCATAGCAATGACGAAAAGCAGAGGTGAGAGGGATTCACCTTGCCTTAACCCACAAGCGTGCCTAAACTTGTTCCCAGTAGATCCATTCACCACGATTCGGGAGCTGGCAGTAGACACATCATCAAAATTGCCTAGTTGGCATGTATGATACTAGCTATGATACTACCATTACAACCATACGACGAGTTGGTGGATTTATTAATAAAAGGGAACAAAATAATGAACCCAACCAACAAGCCCGGACGGAAGTGATACAATAACTAAGAGCATCTCCAGCCGCGCCCCCAACAAGGCCCCCCAGGCGACTTTTCGGCCGCCGGCGCCAAAAAATCGGCCCAGTCGCGCCCCCAAGGGCCCATTTTCGCCGGCTCGGGCCGAAATTGGCACCTGAAAAATCGTTTTTGGCGCGAAAGAGCCGCGGGCCCTCCTTGCCAGTGACTCGTATCTCTCCTCGCCGCTACGTCGTCCTCATTGCCTCGTTTCCCATGGCGAATCAATGCCAAAGCTGCCGCGCGCTGCCGCGCTGGTCAGCCTCCATTGATGCCTCACGGCTGGCGCAGTGAAGACCGGACGACGCGCGTCCCCTCGCCCGCCACACGTACACGCGGTGGCCACGCGTACGCGCGACGCCTCGGCCTATATAAGTCGACCCCCGACGCGCCGGTGACACGCACAGAGTCTCCACCGCCGATGCGCCATTGCTCCCCCTTCTTCCCTCTCCTCTCGCCGTCTCCAGTTAGCATGGCCGAGCGCTTCCCAAGCGACGGCGCGGTGGCGAACGGCTTCGGCCGCCGCCACCTTCACGAGGACGAAACTCGTCTCCTCTTCGAGGCCGAGTACCCAGTCCCGCCGGACATGCGGGTGCCCGAGGCATGGAGAATCAGCGCCCCGCGGGGTCCCGGTGCCACCGCCGCCTACCGGGGCGGCGGGGCGTGCGGAGATCGCGCGTATCCGCGCTCCCTGCCGCGGGCGGTGAGGGAAGGACCACGGTACATCCCCGACAACCCGCTTTGGGAGCCATACTTCCGCCGCCACCACGCCGAACAGCCCGAGGCCACCAACGACGTCGTGCCCTTCGGAAAGCTCAACTCCGAGGGGCGGCACCGATGGTGGGGCGTGCCCGGTCGCACGCTGGAGGCCGTCCTCGAGTACATCAAGGGCGGCAACACGCCGATGCTCGAGTACCCCGCTCCCCCGTCCTTCTCTCGCCGACGTGGGAGCTCGTGGACGCCGAGGCGCATGGAGCAGCCCAGGGCGTCCTCCTCCTCGTCCGGCCGCTCGTCCGGCTCTCCCTGCCTCCGCCCCGTCAAGCCGGAGCCCCAGGACACGCCTGTCAGCCGGCGCACCCGCAGCTCCGGCGTCTGCATCGGCGACTCCACCCCCCCTCTGGCCGCCTCGTCCTCGTGGCGCCCAAGCCGGAGCCCGGCCTCCTCGCGGAGTACGGGGAGATAGCCCGGCCCGACTTCTCCGACGAGGAGGCCCTACAGTGGACACGGGACGACTACCTCCGCGACGAGATGGTCCGGCAGCGCCGAGCCCTGGAGGAGATAGCCGCCCACAAACGTGGGCGCGAGGATGAACACGACGTCGTGATCCTTGACAGCGACGACGAAGAGGACGCCCCCGGACCGTCCAGCCCGCCGCGCCAACTGGGGGAGGGTTGCAGCAGGGACGGCGGCCGCGACGGCGGCGACGACGGCGGCGGCGACTACACGCGGTTCTACAGCCTCCTCGACATGTAGAACTGCAAGGGCGGAGGGCGGCGAGGGAGACGACGAGGAGCAGCCTAGTAGCTTTTTTTTTCTTTTTTGTAAAATATTTTTAAATATGGACGAACTGCCGAAGTTTGGTTGAATTTACGCCGTGTTTGTGCCGTAATTTAAATTTTCAAAAAAACATGGGCGTCGCGACGGGGGGCGTGATGCCCCCAGCGCGCGGTTTAACGCCGGTACGTTTCCAGAGGCGATTTTTAACGCCTCCTTAGAGCATGGTTAATAAGAGAGCCGGCTGTTGGCTATATGCCAAGGCCATGTCACATACAACCTTCATTACAGCCCACTTGTACAATAGATTGACTATACACTGGCTATTAGAATGACTATAGTAATCAATGTTTGCATGTGCATGGAGACAAGGAAGCTCACCTGATTGGGAGAGAAGAAAGAACGCCCAGCTTTTTACCTTGCACACGACTGCATGTGGGTTACTTTTTCTTGTTTCTAGAGCTAGAGCCGGCGATGAGTGAAGCGCCCGCTTCCTTCTCTTTCTTTCCTTCTTTCTCTTTCAGCTAGGATATTGATGATGTGGAATGGCTTATAGCCTGCTGATTAGGATTTATTGTACTTGCTCTTAGGGGCCAACGGCTGGAGATGCTCTAACAAAAATGAAGACTGCTTCCCCTACAAATCGCTGCTCTGCTTCCGCCGGCTGCACCTCCAACCTGCACGCACAGTCACGCACAACTCACGCATTCCCCCCACTTTCTTTCTTCCCCGACACGGGCACGCACGCACACGGCTGCCCTGCGCCCACACACGCTTCGGCCCTTCCTTCCAAAATCTAAACCCCACTCCGACCGCCCCCCCTCCGGCGATGCTGATGCGTCGCCGCCGCCAGCGCCCGGTCCTCCCCCGCCTCCTCCTCGCCACCCTGCTCATCGCGTCGGCCGTCGCATTCCTCCCCCGCGCGGCCGGCGACGCGGCCGAGGCGGGCGACGAGGGCCGCGTGGGCGAGGCGGTCGCGGCGGTGGAGCGCGCCGACGCCGCGGCCGCGGCCCTGGGGGCCGCCGAGGCCGGCGGGGAGGCGGCTCAGGGCAATGCCACGACCAAGGAGCACAGCCTCGCCGACATGATCGACCGCGCGCTGGAGAAGGAGTTCCCCGACTCGGAGGGCGACCAGGGCGGCGGAGGTGCGTGGATCTGACTCCCGACGTTCTCCCCGCGATCCGCCTCGTTGGCTCCCGTGGCGCGGGGATCTGGTTTGGGCGCGTGTCGGCGGCCGGCCGCCTAGATCTCGGCCCCGGCTGCTGCGCTCTGCTGGGAATTGACCAATCCTGCCTGTTTTTCGGTGTTTGGATTGAACTGCCTCGTCCTAATCTCTCCTGCTATGATTTTGCAGAGACGGACCCCGGCAGCTTCAACAACACGGTCGCGGAGAAGCAGGTGATTCATCTGCGCAGTTTTGTTTGTGTGTGGTCGGATTGTTCGTTGACAATGATTATGGAACCTGGTTAAAATTTTGCATTATTACGATGTTCATGAAATGGTTGTTCAGGCCTTGCCGACTCTCTAGATTTAGGAGAATACTTAATTATATGCGCGCTTTAACTTCTAAATTGGTCTCCTTTTACATGCTGTTTAATTTCATAAATATAACTAGCGTTGATACGACTGAATATGTATTGCATGCGTGGAATATCATCGATGTCTTGGATGGAATTGACATTTGGACAGAGGTTACACCATGAATAATGACGAAGCATTCAGTTATCCTTCCATGTATCATTCTGTAGGTTTTGCACCTGTTGACCAATTATTCAGCCTACTGGCCTTTTGACTTAGTGAAATTAAAGGAGTTGATGTTTTCCTAATGCCGACTACAATACCTTGAATGGTGTTTACTGTGCTAGGTTAGATTATGAATCAAAAACTAATATTTGCTTATGGTACCTGACTAACTTTGTGAAACAATTGTTGTGGTGTAAGTTATTACTCCCTCCGTCCGGAAATACTTGTCATCAAAATGAATAAAAGGGGATGTATCTAGATGTATTTTAGTTTTAGATACATCCTTTTTTGTCCATTTTAATGACAAGTATTTTCGGACGGAGGGAGTACTTACTAATAGAACTCATTTGAGTTTTGCATAAATCTCCTAGTGCTGTGTTCCAGCTGACAGTCATTTAGTCATTTGATCTTCTACATGATACACCTATGATCTACAGCTACTTCGAGTTGCATCCAACTATCCTATTATATTTCTCAATTCTGTGTTCAGTTACGTTCTCAATTTGTAGATATACCACCCTTCCATTTTGAAGCAAATAATGGTTTTTATGTGGATATAAATTGCAAAAAGTTGATGCATTCATACTTTATATCTCCAGTCGCACTGCACTTGGCTCGTGTTGCTCTTGTTTGTGTAAAATTGCTGGTTATACTTATCTTGTTTTGTACTACCCTGCCAGGGAGTTCTGGAAACTGTGGCCAGAAGAGTAACGAAGAAGAATGAGACCAAAGACAATAAGTATGTTCCTATTATATATTTGACTATTTTTCTGTTTCTCTGTGAAGTGGATTTAAGTATTTAACCTTTATGATTATTTCACAATCAGTAGCAAATATCCCAAGTTTACGTTTTTTCAATCCCCAGCTCATTCCCATTCAAGGAGGTTTTCTTGGATCGGTCAGAGCAAGAGGATGTTCCCACGTTGATTGATCGGAAGGTACAGGCGCTATAATTCATTGCAGATTTTTTTTAAGCTTTTTTGCTGTGAATGCAATAGTGTTATTTTATTTTACTCTGTTTTACCTGTGTGCTGTATTAACACAACTGCAATTCCAGGATAATGTTTTTATTATATCAAATCGGAAGTCAAAGTACCCTGTACTGCAGCTGGACCTTACGTATGTGACCTAATTATTGCTGAGGATGAGCAAAAATAAAGTATCTGCCTTACTCATAACTTGGTTTGTATGTGAATTACTGTAGGTTGATCTCAGATCTTGTTGTCGTTATTGTATCTGCTACTTGTGGTGGAATTGCCTTTGCTTGCCTTGGACAACCAGTGAGTGCTTCTTTTGTCTCAAATCTCATTTCTGCGCGATTATGTGTATGGACTATGTAAGACATACATTTTTATATGGCTATTTATAATATACTTAAGATTACGAGTGACCTAAAGAAATTAAAAAAATACTTTGCAGGTCATTACAGGTTATTTGCTTGCTGGTTCTATAATTGGCCCTGGAGGTTTTAGCTTTGTCAACGAACTGGTGCAAGTAGGGTGCTTTTGCTTTGTTGGTTGCTTTTCTTGATGTTTAGTTGTCATTATTCTTATATGAAAAATTGCATGCACTTTTGTCCAACCATTTCACTGCTTCAGCAGATGATCAGATCATGCCTGATATATTATATACAATTAATCTTAAACGTAGTAATGAATGTTTACTTTTGACTTGTTTTCATACCCTACCAAGTTTACGAGAACATTTCATAATGAGTATATGTGATTGTGTGCATTTCGCGCAATTAATAATATGATTTCTGCTTTTTCTTCCAGGTTGAGACAGTAGCTCAGTTTGGTGTGATATTTCTCCTTTTTGCTCTAGGACTTGAGTTTTCTACCGCAAAAGTATCCATCTTTGTTTTCTAATACATTTATTAGATATTTGTAGCAATGTCAATATGCAGTTAACTAAATAAATGGTGTTTCAACTTTGTCTCAGCTACGAGCTGTACGCGCAGTTGCCGTTCTTGGAGGATTGCTGCAAATTATACTTTTTATGTTCCTTTGTGGTATTTCTGCGACGGTATGTTTATGTCTTTGCTGCTCATGCTATGATGAAAAATTATTTGAATTGCAATTATTTGCTGCACGAACAAGATCTATTGTTTAGATTCATTTGCATGTTCCACAATTGACGTGAAGAGATCACTAGTATATTGCCATTGATGCAATCAAGTTCTACCAATAAATTCACTGGTTCAGTTCTGTAGCTTTTGGCTTTCTGGCATGTGTTTGATACTCCCTCTGTAAAGAAATATAAGATCGTTTTGATATAGTGATCTAAACGATCTTATATTTCTTTAAAGAGGGAGTACAAAATTAAGGCCAGGGTTGTAAAGGCATTGCCTTTGCATTGCCATGTTTTCCAGTCTGCTGTAGGCAGATGGCCGGAGCCTTTGCCGCTTTATGAGCCTGAGCTTCTCAGATCTGGAGCCTGGAGGAGGGTTAAAGGGTCCTGGTGGTCAAGGCTACCGCTGCCACCCCTCCATGTCACTTCTGCTGATTTATTTTGCTGTCGCTTCCTCTGCCTCTCTCCAGCTCTAGCAAGGTCAGCCATTGAGCATTACAGGAGCTGGGGCACAAGGCAAAATATCAGGAGGTAATGTGGTGGCAGCAGGGGAGGGTGGTTGGGGTGTGCAAGAGGGGGTTAAGAAGAAGACACTAGTGTGACAGGGGATGGAGAGTGGATATTCGAGATGCAGGAGTGGGAAGGAGAAGTGCAGTGGCTGCTGTGGTAGCCAAATAGAAATTAGGGAATGGGATGAGATATTTTAACTTGGCTTTTGGGATTTGGAGAAGTAGTGTGATGACTATTTAGAGGCCCATATCTTGTCTGTTTCTCACTGATACATGTGTGTCACTGCTTCATTAGGTAATAACATCATCTAGCTATCTCCATGGTGGGCCACATGTCATCATGTCGCCCTTTGGTCGCCCAGCTCGCTGGAGTGCCGTGAAAACTTTGTTTATGCTGTTTCTTTCTTTTTTCCTGGCTTTACATATTTCTTTGATTTTCTAGTTCTGTCCTCGGAAAGCACATGCCTGGCAGTTCTATTCTATTTTGCTTATTTTCATTACTGCATTGCAGCTATGTGGGGGTAAAACAAAGGAAGGTGTTTTTGTTGGCGTTCTTCTTTCTATGTCTTCGACAGCAGTGGTAATTTCTAAATATCACTCACACACTCCTTGCTTTTGAACAATGATCCACAATGTTATGTTCCTCATTGGTTCACTGCAGAATGTTAGTTTGTTTTTGGGCTTGTGCCACATATCCTCTCAAAGCGATCTCACCTTGGTGTAAACAAACTTAGTTCTTGCTGGTTTGTGGTAGAACCATTAACTATACCATACATGATTAATGCCAGAAGGGTTTTCATTTTAGTACACCTAATTTTGCATATGATATCTGACCCTGTATTTAACTGGTCTTCTGAATGTTGTATAAATTGCTATTTGCTCATGCTCATTCTAGATTCATTTCACTCTGCTCAACATTAGTGATTCTTTTTGGTTGCAGGTTTTAAAATTTTTGATGGAAAAAAATAGTATCAATGCACTTCATGGCCAAGTGACGGTTGGCATACTCGTATTGCAGGTGTGTTAGACATACGTTATATCTTGTCTTTTTTTGTAGGATTGAATTTGTAAAGATGCATATTTGCTTGCTTCTGTTTATGAATCGAATGGCTTTCAGTTCCACACAAAAAAGTTGAAAGATACTGAATGATAAAGCCTGGCTCAAGACTTGTGTATTTTACCTGATCTATGTCAGTTGCTATCTATTGACACCCCTTCCTCTCAGGATTGTGCTGTTGGTCTTCTGTTTGCACTTCTTCCAATTTTGAGCGGCGCCTCTGGTCTTCTTCATGGAGTTGCGTCAATGACAAAATCGTAAGTGCCGTGTAAAGCCTGAAAATTTCTAGTGACTAAATATTTATTTTTTCCAATATTCTCAGGCTTGTATAATTAATATAAACAATAAGTATGAAACTGCACAGTAAATTCGTGTAATCTCAATGTCTCTGCGGGTGTACTTTACATACCAGTGCCTACTTGAGTCGAGTGTCAACAAATATGACCTGTCTTGTATCTTGTCACATGACTTATCATACTGTCCTATGTATATTTGGTCTACCTGTAACGTACTTATACAGAAGTTTGCTACAACATAATTAGGTATTGGATAAATTAAAATTTTATTATGACATAAATTTCCAATATTCTCAGGCTTGTGCTATTAATATCGTTCCTGGGAATTCTCTCTATCCTCTCCCGTACTTGCGTGCCTTGGTTTCTTAAGCTGATGATAAGTCTTTCGTCTCAGGTGAGTATACTGTGGGCAAACAGAACATTAATGATGCTTTGAGTTTTCGTTAGAACATTACATTGAAGTTATACTAATGTTCGTTGCTGCATCGTGTAGACAAATGAACTGTACCAGTTGGCAGCAGTTGCATTCTGCCTGTTATTTGCTTGGGTGAGTCTTTTTACAGGCCAAAAGTTTTGCTATTACCTGGACAAAAGTTTTGCTTAATATGAATCCGGTAAAAGAGGGCTGAAAATGCTTAAAATATTGTAAACCAGACAGAACAATAAAATGCAAATATTTTTCTTTCTGGGCTTGCCTTTATTTTAACTACAATGTTCAAGATGGATGTGACACATGGATTTTGATGGATATGCAAGCTTATATTCTATCCAACACCATGCCTGCAGTATTTTCCCTCTATTTTGCACATGCTTCTTCAGTTTTTCTCAATCATATATTTTGTTATTATTTGTTAATTTACACTTTTTAAACAAATTTACTTGCATATATATCTTTGATAGTTGTACTCTTCTATCTTGAAATTATCTCTTCTAGGACTATGTCGATATATCTGTTACTTATATGTGGCCTTCCTTCCATGGTGCAGTGCAGTGATAAATTGGGTCTGAGTCTTGAGTTGGGTTCATTTGCAGCTGGCGTTATGATATCAACAACCGATCTTGCTCAACATACTCTTGAACAAGTAATTCCTTGCTAATACCTTGTACACTTTGTTTTTGTGTTGTAAGATTTTTGCATATTTCTCTATAGGGAAGAGGAGCTACCAGCTAGTATTTGCTTTGATCTTTCTTCTACTCACAGCTAGACTCTTGTAGTTAGTAATTCTTTATATGTTCTCTTATTTCAGGTTTGTTCTTTCTGCAGATTGAACCAATTCGAAATCTCTTTGCCGCCCTTTTCCTTGCCAGCATTGGGATGCTAATTAATGTCCATTTTCTGTGGAACCATGTGGATATACTTCTTGCAGCTGTAATTTTGGTGATAACAATAAAGACATTTATTGTCTCTATTGTCGTAAAAGGGTTTGGCTATAACAACAAAACATCTCTTCTTGTAAGTCTTTCTAGTCTCTGTTAGAATGGGCTCCCATCTGCTATCGCTCATGCAGTCACACTTACCTCGTTTTTTCTACAGGTCGGCATGTCTCTTGCACAAATTGGAGAGTTTGCTTTTGTTCTTCTTAGCCGTGCTTCAAGCATCCATCTGATTGAGGTTATTTCTCTATATATTTGTTCCTCACGTGTTGCGACATTACCCTCGTTGGCTATGCTGCTTTAGTCATAAAGCACATATACGCCTTGGTACTTGTTTCTGAGAGTTGCCACCTCTGGCTTACTTTTCTAGTAGTTTAAGATAGCCAAGCATAATCAATACTAAATGTCTTTTGCTGAGGATTTCAATGTCCTGTAAGTACCGGTGTTCCATTAAGTATGACGTTTAAGATGGCCAATCGTAATCTATCTAAATGAAATGAAGCGGTTGATATTTTAACTCTTATTTTGCTCGGCATAGTTTGTTGGCAGTACCTGTCTTGTCTTGTTTGGTCACCGCAAGACCATTGCTTCTCAATTTAGATCCATCTGTACTTTCATTTGACAGCTGCAATGCTTTTCCTCAGGGCAAGCTGTATCTGCTTCTTCTTGGCACCACAGCGCTTAGCTTGGTATGTACCTAATCGCTTCATTTCTTTTGTAAGCAACATTGTGTTATCTCTGTCGATGATAGATATCAAATATGTGGTGGAGTCTAAAATTAGAAGATGGTCACTGTGCCCACCGTCTCTACCTTTGATGACATTACGTTGTTATGAGTTATGTATGGTTAACTTACTGTTTTTTGTGCAGGTAACAACACCCCTGCTATTCAAAATGATCCCAGCCGTGGTCCACCTTGGTGTTCTTTTGAGATGGTTTTCCGTCGATAGCAATCAGGTGGAGGTACACGTTCATCTCAACTGAGTTCATCTACCGATTGTTTTATCTGGAAATTTTTGCCAATCAATTCATCGGTTCTTCCATTTCAGCTGGGCCTAAAAGGCGAAGTCCTCCGCATTGATAGCGGCAAGCGCATAAATTTGATAATCCAAGGCCCACACGACTCATGACACACTTGGCACACCGCAAGCTACTTTTAGTATGGCTTAAGTTAACGAGCTCTGTAAAGTGTTTCCGCATGTAACGAAGAGTTTATAGCGCGTATGCACGGTTGGGCGGGAGTTGGAAGCAGAAGAAATCAGATCTCGTTCAAAGTGTGTGAGATCGACCCTTCCCCGCAGCGACGACTGGAAATGCAAGGGGAGGATTTCGCCAGCCTTGTGAGCAGTGGATGACGCGGGCAGTGAGTGCACTGCTCGCGGTGTGATCCCTCTAATGAGGGTTTTCTGTAGTATAAGAATGTAATCTGATTGATTGATTGATTGGATTAGCGCGATAGGATTTAGGCTTGACCGGTACACCACTGTATTAATTCCACAAAATGTGCAGAACGCCACCTGATCATGAATTTTGATGTGCAGTGAGTTTGCCATTGTCATTTCCCAGTGTAAGTTCCCATGCCTGCAGTCAGGAAAATCATTTTGTATGTGTCTCATTTTTTGGTAAGACGCCTATACTGTAACGTTTGAATGTTGGTCGTTGGATGCTATCTCGGAGCTTTATATCTCTGTGGGCAATTGGCTACCATTGCTATTTCCCGTACTTTGTTGCTGAGAACGACTGAACTACTGCCTCTCGCCTTGGTAGTTCTTTTTATGAGCTGGGGTCTCTTGCCTTGCATAGTTGGTTCTGTTAAGCATCTTGTTAGTATTGCATGTTAGTTAGTTCGTTCGTTTTGTATCTTTTCTTTATGTATTCCTTCTTTTGACTTTTGTTTATATTTAAAAAATACATGTTTAAAAACTACTCCCTTTGTTTCTAAATATAAGTCCTTTTAGGAATTTCATTATGGACATTTAGAAAAAATGTTCATGATATTTTATACATTATAAAAATTTAGTTTGCTTAATTTTGAGAAAATGTTTAGTACCTTAAAAATGTATGTAACATTTAAAAAATGTTTAAATGTTTCAAAAGTATCTTTTGTGACATTTTTCAAAAATGTATACACAACGTAAAATAATGTTCATGTATTTTTTTAAATGGCACCACTCATAAAAAATGTAGGTGGCATTTTACAAAATGTTCACATGTTTCAAAAATATGTTAATGGCATTTAAAAAAATGTACATACAATTTAAAAATTGCTTGCATAACTATAAAAAATATTTCATACCATTCAAAATAAGTGTTGAAATGTGTATTTGAAAAATGTTTTACATGTATTTGTTAAAACGTTCAAACAATGTATTTGAAAAAAATGTTTGTCATGTATTTGAAAAAATGTCCAGCGTGTATAAAAATAGGGATAATTGATTTTATGCCTCTAGTTGGGTCACACTCGGCAGGTTTACCCCTAGTTTCCGAAAACACTTGTTGCTAACCAAACCACTTTGCTCCTCTTATGCTTTTGCCCTTTGACTGTTTGACCATCACTTTGAAAACATCATAAAAAATTCATACTAACTCAGAAAAATTCAAATAAGATATCAAAATGTTTAGAAGTGCATCACCTATATGTGCATGTCATTTGCATTCATGAAAAAAGTGTTGGTCAGTCCCCATCTCAGTTTTAGCTCATATGATCTTAGCATGAACAGTAAAATCTAAAAAAAATTTGGTGGCAAACTTTGACCAATGTTTTGAGTGCTTGCCAAGTCTCATAAGGGAATGTCATTCGTGGAATTCTTGGCAAAAAAAAAAAACAAAAATCAATGCTCCAAAATTTCAATTTTTTTTTGCCACGACTGCCACGAATGTCATTCCCTTATGAAACTTGGCAAGCACTGAAAACATTGGTCAAGGTTTGCCACCAATTTTTTTTAGAATTTTTTTAGATTTTACTATTCATGCTAAGATCATATGAGCTAAAACTGAGATAGGGACTGGCTAGCACTTTTTTCATGAATGCAAATGACATGCACATATAGGTGATGCTTTTCTGAACATTTTGATATCTTATTTGATTTTTTTCTGAGTTAGTATGAATTTTTTATGAAGTTTTCAAAGTGATGGTCAAACGGTCAAAGGGCAAAAGCATAAGAGGAGCAAAGTGGTTTGGGCAGGAACAATTGTTTTCAGAAACTAAGGATAAACATGCCGAGTGGGACACAACTAAGTGCACCAAATTAATTATTCCATAAAAATAATGTTCCACATGAAAAATGTACAATTTGTATTGACATGTATTTATAAAAGAAAAAGGAAATCAAAAGAAAAGGAAAAGGAAAAAAAGAAAAAAAGAAAAAAAAGCATGAAGAAAATCAATAAATAAATATAGAAAATAGAAGAAAAAAACCCAGATGGAAGGTTCTAAAATCAGTAAACTGCTTTGATGGGCCATCCCACTAAGGCGAGACAAATAGTCTTCTCGCCCCGGGCAAGATGTAGTCCTGACACCTTTATCCATGAAGTACAAATAGGAGGGGCCACCAACCAATTTGATGGAGTAGGCTTCCGTTACCTTTGAGGCTTTGACAACATCCCTCCTGGCCAGCCTACCCAATTCTAGGCCACGGTCTAATGATATGTCCGAACTCTATTGAGTCTCTCTTCAACGCTAGCACATGCAACCAAAAATATGGGCACACGACACCAATCCTAGCCGCCACCGTCAAAGCTCTCTCCCACGCCATCACATTGGACCCTTTCTTCCCCATCTGACGACCTCGGCGACGACAAAAGGATTGGGGATCCGTTCGTCCGTTTCGGTTCTTCTTAGGTTTTGTTTTCTCGATGACATCGACGAGCTGGCGGTGAAGATTGCATGCCTTTGCGTTGCAATAAGATATAAATACTCTAGTACGTTAGCTAGTGATTTACCCGCGCCATATTAATATGATTGTGTAAATAAATGTTTATCAAATCCTGCCCGTGATTTACCTTATATTTTGATCCTTGCAACGCGAGCCCTTTCATTAACGCCCTAAACCCATGTGATCCTTTCCTAAACCCTCGGGATCATGCAAATCCTTTCCTAAAGTCACGCGATCATGCAGATCCTTTTCTAAACATTTTTTTAAACTGCTTTCAAAACAACTAATGTCAAAGTAAGGAAACGAGCTAAAGGGACTTGATACCATCGCCATCAAAAGAAAATTGAACGAGCAAAACTAGAAGGAAATCCTGTCCAGTGAGCTACATCATAGCATACAAATTTGTGGTTAGCTACATCATGTCATACAAATTGGTTTATTTTCTTGTGGTTAGTGAGTCGCCTGCCAACTCCGAAGGGCCTAGGCTCTCCGAGTCGAAGCAATGCAATAACTTTTTACATTTTTCCTTCAACGTCATTAGTATGGTTTGTGAGAAAAATATATTAATTTACAGGTAGATCCTTGAAAAAAACGTGTCAATATCTTCAGTCGCCAAATGAGATTTTTGTTATCCGCAAGTAGGGCTGTAAGAAAAGCTCGAGGCTCGTGAGCCGCTCGAGATCGACTCGTATTTTAGCTCGACTCGAGATCGAGTGAAAAAGAAATGAGCTAAGTATGAACACTTTATGTAGCTCGATTAAGAAACGAGCCGATCTTGAGCCTACATTGGCTCGCTCGATTTTAGCTCGATAGCTCGATATCATATAAGTATATTAAATAACCTTCATATCTATTGCCAAGAATTAGGATCATTCATTTCCGTATATGTTCTGTACGATTTTTATCTTCACTTTACCTACTAGCAAACATGGAAATTAAGCATGGAGAAAATTTATTCTCATCATGTGGGCAACCATGTGTTCAATATTTTGTTATTTTGGTCAATGTTTGAGAGCTGGCGCACCTTCGTCGCCTTCTATCCATGATTTCTTGTTATTAAATACTAGTCTTCACTTGAGAAAGAATAAGTCGAATTTATAGAGATTTTTTTGTTGTGTTGTGGCCTATCTTGCTTTAAAATTTTCCTTAAAATAATTTTAAAAATTATCTTATTTAGCTCGAAACTAGCTCGAGATCGACTCGAGATCGTTACAAGCTGAGCATGAGCCTCGACCTTGAGCTTCACACATTTTAAGCTTCGAATTTTAGTATGAGTTGAGCTGAGCCTAGACCAACTCGCTCGAACTCGACTCGTTTGCAGCCCTATCCGCAAGGAATGATGCGCGCTATCTCTTCTCCTCGAACAACTTCAATGTAGAACTAGAACACCAAGGAGACAAGTTTTTACCATGACATCTTGTTTGTTCTAGAGCAGGCGAAGGGAGTGAAAACAACATCGAGGCAGGCAAGAACCGTCCAAAGACAAAGACTCAGCTATACGACTTTTCGTTCGAAATACGCGTCAGCTGATTCCAGTGATGTTTACGGGAGAATGACGGCCGCTCTGTCACACCTCCCTTAAAAAAAATACAATATTAAGTATTGAATGACGGCCAGCTGCTAGGTCGCGTGGGAGGGTTCTCCTATCTAATGTTTCATTCCGTTGCGTAATCAGCTAGCAAAATGTAGGTTTTCTATTCCGTTGATGATCTCACGTTCTCGAAAAATAAAAGACCTTAGTGATCAGAGATGAGAGGAAGAGAATAAGCTCTTTGTTTAATTTTTGTTAGTGTGAAAAAAAGTGGATATATGTGATCAAGTGAACTATCTTTTTCAGGGGATCATGTGAACTATTTATATTTATGTACCTTTGGTCAGTAGTCTCTATAGTTATTACTACTGTTTGTGACTTGGTCTCCCTTTTGTAATTTCTTTCAGACTTTGCAACTATTTCCTTCTTCTCCTATAATGTTCACATGCAGTTCTCCTGCATGGTTTGAAAAAAAATAGCATTCCTTTAAGCATAACTCTTCATCAACTGTTTTTTTTTCCTTCCATCATGTTCCTCCATTGATTTTTTTTTCATCCAGCCAGTTTGTTTGTTTGCACACCACGTCATATTTGACCGCACCCTCCAAATACGTCGCTCAATCATATTTTACTTACCTTTTACAACACTACATGAACTTCACATTAATTAACTTATCTTTTTCAATAAAGTGGAATACGCCATTTGATTTATACCATATTTCATC